TTGAAATATATTCTTCCCTGATCCCATATTCATCCTTCCTCCCTCCCCCCCCCATCCCAGGCCACCGAGCTTTCCCCGTTCCTCCCCTACTCCCTTCTCTCTAACCCTCTCCCCTTCCATCAACCCTCCCACCCCCTCAAGCACCCGAGGTTACCTGGGACTCTTGTCTATTTCCTACCTCCTGGTGGATAGCTAAATAATCTTCATCAGGTTCATCTTCTTATTTAGCTTCTCTAGGATCACGAATAATAGGCTCAAAGACCTTTAATTATGGTTAGAATCCACTTATGAGTGATTACATACCGTGTTCCTCTTTTTGGGTCTGGCTTACCTCACTCAGTAAAGCGTTTTCTATTTCCATCAATTTGCATGCAAAATTCAAGATGTCATTGTTTTTTACCACTGAGTAAAACTCTAATGTGTATATGTTCCACACCTTTTTTAACCATTCTTCTATTGAGGGGCACCCAGGCTGTTTCCAGGTTCTGGCTATTACAAATAGTGCTGCTATGAACATAGTAGAACAAATGCTTTTGTAGTATGTTAGGGAATCTTTAGGGTATATTCCCAAGAGTGGAATTGCTGGGTCCTGAGGGAGGTTGACTCCCAGTTTCCTGAGAAACCGCCACACTGATTTCCACAGTGGCTGCACGAGTTTGCATTCCCACCAACAATGGATGAGTGTTCCCCTCACCCCACATCCTCTCCAGCATAGGCTATCGTTGGTGTTTTTGACTTTAGCTATTCTGACAGGTGTAAGATGGTATCTCAAAGTGGTTTTGATTTGCATTTCCCTGATCGCTAAGGAGGTTGAGCATGACCTTAAGTGTCTTCTGGCCATTCGAAGTTCATCTGTTGTGAATTCTCTGTTAAGTTCAGTACCCCATTTTTTAATTGGGTTAATTAGAGTTTTAGTGCCTAGTTTCTTGAGTTCTTTGTATATTTTGGAGATCAGACCTTTGTCTGATGAGGGGTTGGTGAAGATCTTCTCCCAGTCAGAAGGCAGCCTTTTTGTCCTACTACAAGACCTAGTTCTGTGATAGGCTCCAATGTTACAGAGAAACCCTTGAAAAACCTAAAAAAGCTTTTTTAATTACTATAACCCTATTGTCAAGTTTGCAGTCAGGGATAGCAATGTCTCTAGAAGTTCTTTTCTTGTCCAGGATTGTTTTGAAGAATTGTGTAGGGATGGTGATGGGGATTGCCTTGAATCTGTGGTAAGATGGCAATTTTTATTATGTTGATCTTAACTATCCAAGAACATGGGAAATCTTTCCATGTTCTGATATTTTCTTCAATTTCTTTCTACAAAGACTTAAAGTTCTTGTCATAAGATCTTTCACTTATTTGGTTAGAATTACATTGAAATATTTTACATTTTTGGCTAAGGTAAATGTTGATGTTTCACTGATTTCTTTCTGAATCATTCATTGATCACTTGTATATAGGAGGACTACTGATATTTTTTTAATCTAATCTTGTATCCTGCCACATACTGAAGGTGTTTATTAGCTGTGGAAGTCCCCTGATAGAATTTTTTGGAGTCATTAATGTAAATCTGCAATTAATGAAAGTTGGAGAATTTTGATGTTCATTGATGATACTAATATGGAATGGATCCCATGATTTTGAATGATCCTTTGCTGTAGACTAGACTTGCCTCAATAGCATAGGGACACATCTGTTCAACGTCCTTAGTACGGAGAATAACGGCATGTATATCTCCCAATATTGTTCACCTATTTTAAATGTATACCAACATTATCATTTATTTGTATTGGTTGTATATGATCAACATATTTTTTTCTACAGGTGAGATCCTCCCGGCTGAACAGCCCAGATCATAAAGTTTTTCACATGTTTATTTTTGGTTTTTATTTTTATTTATTGATAGATTTTTTTTGATTTTTCAAGGCAGGGTTTCTCTGTAACTTTGGAGCCTGTCATGGAACTAGCTCTTATAGACTAGGCTGGCCTCAAACTCTAGAGATCTGCCTGCCTCTGCCTCCCAAGCACTGGCATTAAAGGCATGTGCCACTACTGCCTAGCCCATGTTTATTTTGAAATATACAATGAGATCTGAGGAGAACACTAGTTCTCTTTGCCTCATCTCAAACACTAAATTAGTCTTGTCATCACCCACAGCAAAACGCTTGCCCTAGATTTGTCTTACTTTCTCTGTAGTACATTTCCTCTAAAAGATGCTTTCCAGTCTGCACTCAGCAGAACACTCCCACACTGACAGTACAGATTCCAAGTGCAAACTAAATAGAATACTAGGAAAATGGAATAAGAAGAATTTACACATAAATACAACATCACTTCCCAGTTTCTCTTTGCTTCAAAGATACAACAAGACTTCTTTATAGGCATTATGGGATTATAAAATGAGTAAAATAATGTAGGACCAAGAAGAAATGGGTCAAAACACAGTATTGATCTGCTTGAATGGAGGACCAGACAGTGAGATCATGTTTAGAAATCTAATACTTGGCTTCTCATTAATAATGATTGGCTGGGAGGAGGAGTGGTAGGTCTTGTGTAGTATTAGTAATTAGGCACAAAGATTTGGTTTTCTCTCTGAATCTTTTGAATACTTAAAATCAGCATTCAACATGGAAATGAACTGTGGTTCCATGATGAGCTGGGTGGTTTTGGAGCAGTAGGATTCAGAAAATTTCTGGGTTTGGCCTGATTAATGGTTTTCAAGACAATGGAAGCACAGGCTTTGGTTAGATATTTTGGACCTGTCACATGTGTAGAATAGGCCCCACCGTGTGTGCTGTATGCTGTTCAATTGCTCTAAACATGGAGCTCTTTTCCATGACATGGACTTAGTCAAATATTTCCAGTGAGGAACCATGAATTCTGACATCGTGAGTCCTTCTGAACCAATGTGCAAGTCTCACTGTGGATCATCGAACGAAATCCACTGACATCATTTCTAAAGGTGTTAGCATAAACACCTTGATAACACAGCCATAGGACCAAATTTTCTCAAATTGTCATCTTCCCAGGGGCATAATTTCCACAAAAATGAGTGGTGTCATGAAACTAGCGTAACTGTCCTTGTGTCTGTTTATAAACCAAATTTCATCACATGGACTGTGGAAATCAGATGCAGAGCTGCAGGGAGGAGAGTGTCAAAGTTTCCCAATGGATAAGAAAACATCTGCACACACACAAAGAAAGGATTCATGAATGCATAAATAGCTTCTCATACGGCCACAGAAATAAAAGCAGGTGCCGACTGGAAGTGCTGATTTGCATGGAAGTTCATAATTCAACTCCCCAAGCTTAGAGCAGACAAACATGCTTACTTTGGTTTTGTTCTTCTTGCTCCAGAACATTTTACCTCAGGAGCCCAGTCTCATTCATCCCAGGTGCTTTTGGAGAATGAAGCAGAATGAAGAGAATGATGGAGACACATTGGGATATTATACCTTCCTTATTTTCCCAACAAATAGAACAGATCTTGCAGAGTTTTTGGGAGAATTCTCTCATGAAGAGTAAGTGCCTTTGAATTTTCTATGTAAATGTCATCATGGATATTTCATGAGGGGCCAAGAGGGTGAACATCTGAACAATGCCTTGTATATTCTGTCCTCTTCTCCCAACCTGCACCCAAATAAAAAACATCATATTATTTAGAAACTACATGTTATTTTTCTTCATTTAAATTTCCAGAGAATGTTCTATTTTTCTCCCAGTCACACTCCAAATTACCAGACTGGGTGCTGTGCGAATAAGTATTCTATACCTAAATGTACATTAATACTGTCCATATACACAGATGCATTCAGACATACATCTTTATAAAATACAACTCTGGTATTTGAATACATTTAAAAATATATCTTTAAAAGGTTATATGACTGAAAAAGATAAACAAGAAAGAAAAAGAAAAAGATGAAGATGGATAGGATGGGATATGTTAAGTATATCACCCACTGATTATAAATAATTGTAAGCAAGAGAGCCAAATATTGCCCATACTACTTTACACTCATCAGACATTTTGACTGCCTTAGCTAATTCAGTTAATTTCACAGAAAATGCAGTAAATTCAATGGTTCACACATCACATACATTTTTATTGTTCAATAATTTAAAACTGAAACCATGACCAGGTTTACTCTTTGGTCAAAGCCTATGGCCTTATCTTTACTTTCTGAGCAAGCACTCAAAAACCAGAGATGGACACGGTTCTCTGTGAAAGATAACAATGGCGCATCTTCTTTGTTGGAGATGCACTCTCATGAAATTTTAAAGTTTTTTCAAGCTTTCAGCTTCTTATGTCATTTGAACATCACAACACAGAGGATTCATTTCAAACATTGGGGGTGGTTGGGGATACCAATCAGTACTCCTTGTATTCATTGCACATGATTTTCTGTAGGTATTTGTCCTATTAAACACCGTATCATTTTACAGAATACTAAATGAAAACTATCAGTTTGTATTGGCCTTAATTTTTTCCGTGGATGAAGTCAACAGGGACCCTGATCTTTTACCAAATATGCCTTTACTATTACAAATTTTTCCAAGTGGGTGTAAGACTGTGCCACAATTACGCATTTGCAATCAATATTATTATACTATCCATGGTCAAGATACTGGTGGCATGTATCCTAATTATCACTGTAAAAACTTGGGAGCATGTACAGTAATGCTTACAGGACCAAGCTGGATAGTATCTTCTATGGATGGAAAAGGCATGCACGGCTTATTTCCTTATCAGGTGAGATTTTGTGTGGTCATGGGTGGCAAGAAATCCTGTCTCCATTGGTGCCATTCTCAGGTGCTAAGAAAAGTGTGAGGAGGAGACCGGCCTACACTTATCTCAAGCTGTTTAGTCCATGGGTACTATTCAGGGGACTTCTGTATTTACATTTTGGAAATAGAAATGAGGGAAGAGTAACAGGCAAGGATATGATTTAGAACTCTTTGCAGAAAAGTGTGTTTAACAAGTCCTTAGCAGTGCATGCTACCTCACGCTGCTCTCTGTTTCCTAGTTTTTTCAGCTCACCTATGGACCCTTCCATCCCACCCTGAGTGATCGTGAACAATTTCCTTTTCTGTATCAAATGGCCCCTGAAGACACATCTCTACCCCTGGCCATGGTCTCCCTCATTCTTCACTTCAACTGGAACTGGGTTGGACTGACCATCTCAGACAATGATCAGGGTATCCAATTTCTCTCATATTTGAGAACAGAGATGGAAAAAAATACACTCTGCTTTGCCTTTGTTAACATGATTCCGCTCAACATTTATTTGTACATGTCAAGAGCTGAAGTGTATTATAACCAAATCTTGACATCATCCTCAAATGTTGTTATCATTTATGGTGAAACAGATAGTACTCTATCTGTCAGCTTTAGAATATGGACATCTCGAGGTATGCAGAGAATATGGGTCACAACCTCACAGTTTGATGTCACTACAAGTAAGAGTGACTTCTTGCCTGAATTGTTCCATGGGACTCTGGCATTTGCACACCACCATGCTGAGATTTCTGGTTTTAAAAATTTTTTCCAGTCAAAGAACCCACTCAAATATTCAGATGAATACCTTGCAAGGCTGGAGTGGATGAATTTTAACTGTGGAGTCTCGGCTCCTATGTGTAATACACTGAGGAACTGCTCATCCAACAGCTCATTGGAATGGCTGATTGCACAGACATTTGACATGGCTTTTAGTGATGGCAGCTATGACATATACAATGCTGTGTATACTACGGCACATGCTGCCCATGAGAGGCTTCTTCAGCGAATGGACAATCAGGAAGTACACCTGGGTAACTGCTTGAAGGTGATATTTCTATTTGATGATACTCATTGTTTTCCATATCAGTCTCTATTAGAGTCTCAGCTGTCCCATTCTAGTGGGTTAGAATATATTTCCCCAAATAGAAAGATTTTTGAACATTTTTCCTCTTGAGGAAGTAAATTTATAGATTTAAAAAATCTCAAATGCAAACGCTGTGGGTTGGGAGACACAATTTCTCGATGAAAACCAGTGATTCTGTTATAGCACACCTGAATATCATCACCACTGCTGTAATACTGGAAACACGGGAGTCTTCTTCATTAATCCTCTCCATGATAAAAAGATGAGCTTTTGTTCCTTAATTGACAGATATGTGGCAATCATTGTAGGGGTGGTTTGCACAGATATTCTAAACTGAATCTGCCCCAACTCTGGGCTCTGGAAAACTCACGAGTGTGTGAATGGATGGTTCTCATTGTATATGGCTGAATGTTTGTGTGTTTCTCTGTACTTCTGGGTATATCTGTGTAGATGTTAAATATGTGTTTCTATCTATCTGCACACCTACCTGACTGTGTAAGTGAGAATAAATTGGTCTTTGTCAATGACTTTCTCTATGGGTGTGCTTCTGTGTGTCTCTCCCTATGTCTATTTGTCGGTGCATGTATCTACAAGTGCCCATGTGTGTGATTTGTCTGTTTTGTGGTTGAGCTTGCACTTATGCATATTTGTGTTAGTGTGTATGGGCGTGTTTGGTGAATGTGTTGTACATATGTATATCTGTGTTTCTGTTCCTCTGTATGTGTATCTGTCTGTCTTTTCATTTGAGGATAAATTTGTCTCTGTCAATGTCTCCCCACATTTATATCTGTTTATATCAGTGTATGTCTCCTTGTGCATATTTATCCATGAATTTGTGAGCATGTGTATGAGCCTGTGTAAGTTTTTGTGGGTTTCTCTTTCTCTGTGTCTGAGTGCATAAGTCTGTCTCTGTGTGTCTGTATTTTCATATCATTTCTTGGCTTCAGGTGTATGTATGTGTAAATAGTACATGCCTATATTATGTATGTATCTATGTATGAATATGAATCTGTGTGTATGTGTTTATGAATATTTAATTCTTACAATTGGTGTTGTCCTGTATGTCTGTGCTTATATTTGGTAGTTCCTTTGAAAAAATAATTTTCTAGGACTGTTATTATATTTCCATTTATCTACTTGCTTTCATTGAGATTTCTCACATGGGCACATTCAAGAAAGTTGCATTGAAGATGAAATCAGAGTATATTTTCTGACTTCAAGGAAGGGCACATTCACTAAAGAATGTTGACTGTCTTTCAGTTGTACTCCATACTTAGGAAGACCCACTTCACTAATCCAGTTGGGGACAGAGTGACTATGAACCAGAAAGAAAAACTGCAGCCAGAGTATGACATTTTCCAGATTTGGAATTTCCCAAATGGTCTTGGACTTAAGGTGAAGATAGGAATGTTTAGCCCATATTTTCCACATGGTCAACAGCTCCATTTATATGAAGACATTCTAGAGTGGGCCGCAGGAAGTAGACAGGTAGGTCTGACCTGATGTACTGATTTACATTACACAGCAGTAACACTGTCACGTGGGTCCAACTGTGCTTCAATGTAACTTAGTAAAAATAGATTGTCACTTTAGGTACCATTTTCTAGCTTCCTACAAAATGTTTCTTCTTTTCACTTTTTTGATGTGACATTGTATGAATTGTTTCAGGATTTTATACATGCATACTGTGATTTTTATCATATAAGAACATGTTTCAAGATTTTAAAATAAATAGCAAACTGGTGGTTACCACTATTTAATCTTATTTCCTGCAATTCAGAAATATTCTGTTGGTCCCATTCTAATTACTACACAGTGGTTTTCCTCTTTTCTGCTGTACTTCTGACACAGATGCTGAAACACTGAGCAAATTGTAAGGGAGGAGTAAAGTAAACATATGCCAATCAATGATTTTTATGAAATAATTTGCTTTAAGCATTTTTGTCAACAAGTTCTAAATCGCCAATATCTTTAGCCATGCATTGACATAACATTTTTTGACCCGTTTAGAAACCTTATGAATTGTAACCTTGTTTTATCTTTCTGTCTTTTTCTTTTCTGTTGGTATGAGTGTTTTTCAGCATGTTTTTGTACAGTACTGCAATGTGTGGTACGTATGCATGTCAGAAAAATGATTTTGATTTCCACGAAACTGGAGACAGCTTAGTTCCACAAAGGGTGAACTATTAATGAATCTTGCATCTGTTCATGAAGAGCAATTGTTATTGACGGCTGAGCCATTTCTCTAGCCCTGAAGCTTATACTGTAAAAGAAATTTCTCACTAGAGGAACATTGCTTGATCACGTTAATTCTTTCATAGTTCACCCAAAACAAACAAGTGTGTATCTAGTTTCCTTATCTCTTTGTGTGGAGTTATTGGTAGTAAAGAAATTTGCTTTTGAAAATTTATAAATGATATATTGTTCTATGGGTTCTATGTAAGTTATAGATAAGAATTCTCATGAAGGTGATTTTAAGGTATCTAATTCAAACTCCCAAACTACAAAGTGGCTAGAATTTTAAAGGAGTTAACTTCAAGAAAGACTCCAAGCTTTATCTGAAGTTATATCTCAGGTTGCCCAGTATGAAATCTACAGTTAATATCCTTTCTCAGAGTGATGAGGAGAGTCATTCTCAGAGAACAGGACATTTGATCTGAAGGCTTAACTACTGAGCTACATGTCCATTCAGAGATCAGCAATGATTTCACATGTGTTGTAAGCTAGCCTCCCTTGAGCATTACGAAAACATCCACTGCAGGAATCCAGAGGATTACGAACAGTGCAATCAGGGCTATACTCCTAGATATGCAAATTTCAATAAACAAACAAGTGAAGAAACTATGAAGACATCCATGCAACAAATATTAGAGTCGGAGGTTTAAACAAGAGTGTGTTCAATGATGTACTGAACAAAGAATTCAAAGATGATGTTGAAAGTCAAACAACCTCCAGAACAAAGAAAGGAGTTCACAAAAACTTGCATACAATACGGATCTGTATGAGTATGTGACAGATACATCCCACAAGTTACAAAATAATTAAAAAATTCAATCTAAAATATGTAAAGGAAAGACAAATGAAATCACTTAAAAATATCAGTGAAAAGTCTCACTAACAGAATACCTCAAGATTATGACAGGATGGCAAGACTCGAAGACCAGGCTGAAAATAGATATCTGAAACTATGATGAAGATAAAAAAATAAGAAAAATTAAAAGATGTGTGAGACCACGAGGGTAAAATTAAAGGATCCAGCTTTTAACCTATAGCCAGAAGAGAAGAAGGATACCCCATAAGCATCAACAGTGTATCCAATAGTATGTAAAAGTGACTTTCCAGAATACAGTGGGACGTGTGGCTATCTAGACACAGGAGGCATTTAAATACCAAACACATAATATCAGAAGAGAATCTTCTCCTGATATACTTTATTTATAGTGCATTTCATAGAAATTTCCCATCTGAATTACAGTAGATTCCTTCATGAACTCTCTTAAAATGGGACAGTATCAGTGATAGAATTGAAGCAGTTTGATTCATAACTGTCAAACCCCAAATACTATACTCAACAAAGTTATCTTTCATAAAAGAAGACTGTGTTACCCCCTCTTGAGTATCAAGTTGACAATATTTAGAATTTAATGAAACCCAAATATGCAGAGCAAAATTGAAAGGGATTTTTGCTTAATGTGAAGTGGGATGATCCACTTCTTATCCATCCATATCTTTGAGATAGGAAAAAACACCTTTCAAAGAGGAGGGGTGGTGCATGCCTTTAATCACAGAACTCTTGAGGCACAGGCAGGTGGATCTCTGAGTTGAGGGACAACCTGGTCAACACAGTGAGTTCCAAGACAGCTAGGGTGAAATATAAACCTTGTCGTTAAAAACAAAACAAAAAAATATAGAAAAAAGAAGTATGACATATAGAAAGGAAGGTTAAATGACTGAAAGGGAGAGGGAGAGGGGGAGAGAGAAAGAGAAAGAGAGAGAGAGAGGGAGGGAGAGAGAGAACCTGCTATTAATTGAGATCTTTTAAGTGTGGAAAGAAGATTTTTATCTGGATTTTCAGTTGGGGAGACACAACTTTAATCCAGATCATTTCATTTAGGAAAATCCACCTCTTATCTGGGATACACCCTTTGCTAGATACACATATAAGGAAATAGAAAAAGAAAATCTTTGCTCTTTGTGTGCTTCTTCCCAAGTTCATTATTTCACTGGAATTAAGGGTGTTTCTTTGGGATTCCAGGGTAGAATGGAGATCAGCTGAGGCATTAAGCCTCATGGACTGAGAAGTTGTTGGATTCTTGAACTTTCCATTCATATCCAGCAATTACTGGGTTAGCTAGATCACAAGACATTCTAATAAATTTCATATGTGTATATATAGAGAAGAGAGCCGGAGATAGAGAAAGAAACAGAGACAGTTTTCTTCTACATGTTTGTTACTCCAAACAACCCTAACAAATACAGATATAGAACAAATTTCAATGATGAAAATGAATTATTGGAATTCACAACCATTCTAACACTATTATGGAATTCATATTAAGACCAATAATAATTAGCTAAAACTTTTCAATGCCAATTTATTGTTAATCTTCCCATTCTCTAGTCAAAATACACAAACATCAAGATTGGCTATAAAACCAGCAGTCATTTTTGCTTCCAAAACCAAACCTCACTTACAAACATGAAGAGACTACTTCTATAAATATGGGGTGGGAGAATTTTGAGGAAATGTAACATAATAAAAAAAATTAGGGACTAAACATTTTGATGGACATAGATGTAAAATTTCTCAACTAATTTTAATAAGTTAATAATAAGACTCAACAACATGACTTTCCATCTCTCTCTCAAAAAGGCAGTTTCTGTCTCTCCCTTCTTCCCACTTTCTCCCCCCTCTCTTCCTCTCTCTTTACTCCTTTCCCTTTTGTGCTTTTCCCTTCCATAATCCACTAAATAAATATCCAACCTCATTCTGCAAAAAACAAAATGAAACAACAACCAAAAAACCCCAAACCTTAACAATACAACAGAAATATCTGCTCCTCTGGTAAAGATGACTGTATTTCAGAGATACAAATTTGATCCAACATATGCAGATCAGTTATGCAAATGTGACACATAAATAGACTCATGGATAGAACTAGAGGATCATCCAAATATGTGCAGAAGGTGTGCATAACAATTTCAACATTCATTCAGAGATAAAATTTAAAAACCAGCACAAAAGAAAGATCACATCTTAACAAAATCAGGTTTTCTTTTCATTAATTAATATTTTCCAGCCTGATCACTTTAAAAATGTTTAGTGTGGCAAAGCATTTGACAACATTGTCCTACAAGAAGAGAAACTCAAGATCTTCCATTAAAATCCTAAGTGAGGCCAGATGTATGTTGAGGTACTTATCTTAATCTAAACTCTTGGGAGGCAGAGACAGTCAAAGCCCTGTCTTTTTATCGCAAGTCTGGCCTACATAGCAAGTCCAAGCCAGCTAAAGATGCATATAGAGACCACACTTCAAAATACATGGGCAAAAAGTGGAAAAGTATATACATGTACTCTACTCTCATTCAAAATAGTCCTTAATATCTTAGCAAGTAGAAAAGGAAATTGCAACCATGAAAACCAGAAACGAATGGAAGAAATATGTCCACTGGTAGCATACATGTCTAACCCCAGCATTCAGGAGGTAGAAGAGGCATATCCTTGTGGGATCTAAGCCAGCCTAGTCTATAGAAAATGTGCGGTCTACAACCACTACACTGTGAAACCCTCATTCAAGGAGGCAGAAAACAAAGGAAAATTTGTCCCTAACCATATTGTGGAGAATATGAAAGAGCCTGGGCATAGGAGACACTGCACTTAACTCAGCACTGAACAGAGCTTGCAATGTGAGCCTGCAATATTAGCAGCATTCCGAAGCAGCGTAAGGAACTCTATCACCAGGTTTTTGATGATTTGAAGATATTTTATTTTAAACTTTAAAAACTCATTCAATTAACCTTAAGTTATTTAACTTTCATCCAGGTTCTGCAGAGTCTGCAGCCTTTGTCAAGCACATTATTCTCAGGAAACACCCCACCTTCCAGCTCAGTGCACATCAACTCAGCACTTCATCACTAGAAATGCACCAGGCTCTACCTAGTCATCTGTCTCTTTACACTATGTAATGCTTTGCAATGTGATTTTAGTGGAATTCATGTGTGCTATCTCAGATTTGAGGAGTATTTCCTTGTTTTAGATTTCTCCCTTAGTCCTAGTTTGCTATGCTACTGCTGTGATTAAACAGACCATAAGCAAAGGGAGAAGAAAGGGTTGGTTTGACTCATGGGTTATAGAAGAGGGAAGACAAGGCAGGAATCTGAAGACTGCAACTAAAGTACTGAACCTGAAGGAACACTGCTTACTGGCTTCTTCTACTTGATTTCTCCTACAGTCTGCCTAGGCAACAGCACTGCCCACAGTGAACTGGAAACTCCTAAATCAAATATTAATGAGTAAAATGTTTTGCAGTTATAGTGACAGGTTAATCCAATGGAAAGAATATTTTGGTTAAGGTTCCCTCTATATTTTTAATGTACTTTGTGTCAAATTTCAAAAATTAAGTAGAAAAAAAACGGTTTGCATGCTCTGTCATGTTTATTTGTCCAGACTGAACAATTCATTCTTCTTCCTAAATTTCCAGCAATATGATGCTATCAATTTTATATTAAATTGTTTCTACACATTCACATAAATTGGCATTCTATAATATGCTAAGTGAAATATGGTGACTCTTTGGTGTATATAAAATAAATTTATTGATATTTTATCAAGGTATTTAAAGTAGTTATGTAATGAATAGGCATATCTCCTGATACCATCATTTGTCTAATTTTCCTCAGATGCCGCCCTCTGTGTGCAGTGCTGATTGTGGTCCTGGATTCAGAAAGTTCAGGCAGGAAGGAATGGCAGCCTGCTGTTTTGAATGCACTCCCTGCTCAGAAAATGAAGTTTCTAATGAGACAAGTGAGTATTTACTTTGACCTTGGTCATCCTCTCTAACATACAGAAGGATGATCAAAGGGTCTAAAATCTGCTGCACAGATTAAATATATCCCTTTCCTAAGTTAGATTTAACGGAATGTGATCAATATCAATGTCCCTTTAAGTCATACTGTTTGCTATGACATACAACTTTAACTCACTGAAAATTCATGGCATATGTCAGTTTCTCAAAGAAACAGTTTTGATCATCAAACTGCAGTGTGAGAGAATTCAACACACTTGGTTGTTGAAAACAAGGTCTTTCCTAGTGATTGTTTAATCTAACTGCATGTGTGTATGTGTCCCTACAGACACTTATAGGCACCATGTACAATATAAGAATCAATGAAGTTCAGAATAGGACATTAGATCCACTAAACTCTGATCCTTCTATCAGTCTCTCACTACAGAACTTTGTTATGTAGATGTTAGGAACCAATTGCAAGTTCTCTGTATAGTTAATGAAAACAGGAATAATTGCTTGTACAGTTAAATCAGAAACAGTTAAATATGAGAGACAAGACTTTAAGCAATATCCAGAGACCCCCTTTCAAAGGATCAATGTGATTTGAACTCTAGGGAATATTAATAAGTACTGACACATGATATAGAACATATGAGGAGTCCTGCATTTAATATTTTATGTACAAAACCCACTTAATAATGTCACAAATATGATATTAAAACAGTTTGGTATGAAAATACCATAGGCACAATTATCTGAATGGTGTTGTCACCTACAAGCTCTTATTAATCAGATGATTATTTGTTTAGTGTTGGGTATATACAGATGACAGACTTACTGTTTTTCTGTGGTTCTCACCCCATGTAATAAGATAAAAATCTTTAAGGCATATTAATGCCCAATAATATGACAAAGTAATTAATTCCCTTGCTACTACAGCTGATAATGAGTTCATCCCCAGGACCCATGTAATAAATAGAGGTAATGAATTCCTAGAAATTATCTTCTGACTGTTGGGGGAGGCTGCATGTTCATCCCAACTGCCCAGACTCGAAATAATCACACAGATATTGTATTCAATAAATCACTATTTGGCCCGTTATGTTTAGCTTCTTATTGACTGACTCTTACGTAATAATATAACCCATTTCTATTAATATGTATATCGCCACATGGCTGTGGCTTACCGGGTAAAGTTTTCAATCATCCATCCCTGGCAGCAGCTCCATTGCTTCTCTCTCCTTCTACCTCCTTCTCCCAGCATTCTGCCTCGCTTTCCCTGCCTACCTCTATTCCCTGCGCAGGCCCAAAGCAGTCCTTCATTTACTATCCAATAAAAGCAACACATAAACAGAATGTCTTCCCACACCATTTGACCTCTATACACTCACACATATAACATACAACAAAGTAATGAACAGCATCTAATGAAATGGCTTTAAATGGAAAAATTTATAAGAGTAAATGGTATTGACTGTGCTATCAGTCTTACTTGAGTATTCTTCTGTTATTGTCCTCATGGTGCTATATCTGTATCTATTTCCCACCTGACTACACTCTGTGTCTGTATCTCACAGAAAAGGAAGAAGGAAGGAGCTTGTCTGTTCACAAATTGATGGCAACAAGATGTAGGGCTTATTAATGCTAAATATGCAGAGAGGATTCTACCCTCAGTGATAAGAGTTACTGCTCCTCTTCTACATTTATTTTCATTGCTACTTGTTTGCTAGCTTGTTTTATGTAAGCTCATAGGATTGTGAGTGGTTTTTTGCATTTATTTATTTCATATACCAACAATCATTTCTCCTTCCTCCTCTCTTTCCAATCCCTTCTTTCCCTCACATCTACTTCTGTCTCCATTTAGAAAGGATAAGGCCTTCTATGGAGCCAACAAAGCATGGCACACCAAATTAAGGCAGTACCTAGACCCTTCCTTTTGCATTGCTGCTGAACAATCCATTTCACAACAGGGAATGTGTTCCAAAAGGCCAGTTCATGTGCCATGAACAGATCCTGGCTCACTGCTAGGAATCCCATAAACAGACCAGCCTACACAACAGTTAGACACAAGCAGAGGGCCTAGGAGAGTCCTATGCCAGCTCTCTAGGTGTTGGTACAGATTCCATGAGCTCCCTTGAGCTCAGGTCAGCTGTTTCTGTGAGTTTCCCTGTCATGATCTTCATCCTCCCCTGTTGACTGAGGTTTCTGTCCTGACTGGTTCCCTCAGTCATTAATTCCCAAAGTAATACACAGAGGTCTACATTAGCTATTAACTGATTGGCCCAGTGTATTAGGCTCTTCTTATTAACCAATTCTTATAACTTATATTAACCCATTATTTTTGTCTATGTTAGCCATGTGGCTTAGTACCTTTTTTGGCCAGACAGTCACATCTTGCTTGCTCTGCACCATGTCACAACTCCAGACTGAGACGTCCTTCTTCCCTGAGTTCTCATTGCTGTGCCTCTACTTTCTGCACCCCTCCTACTCTTTCTGCCTGGCTACTGGCCAATCAGTGTTTATTTAGAATAAAATTGACAGGGTACAGACCACTGCCCCACAACACTCCCCTTACTTATATAATCCCTCCTCCCTATTGTCACCTGGTCTCTGTACACTGCCATTTTGTCTTACTGACAGTGTCCTGCCACCAACGAACCCAGTTGGGTATGGAGATCTTGTAAGACATGGTTCCTCAAAGACCATATGTGTATGGATTTAATGGTGACAAACAGAAACAAACACAGAGGCAGTTTGAATCTGAGTGTATTTTGCAGCTCTCAATTAAGGGTTTTTATACAAGATGAACAGGTATTACAATTCTTCAAATCTGTATTCAGTAAATCAGTTACAAAGATCAATTATCATAATCACCTGGCACAAGAAGACACAAAATCAAACAGGTATTACATTTCCTGAACAATGGGTTCAAAGAATCAATTACGAATGGAACAGATAACATCTTTAGACACTAAACAAAGCAATTTAATAAATCACTTATAGATAATGGATGACTCCTAGGTCCAAATCTATACTACAATGTCAAAGCCAACCTCATCTACACATGGATAGCCATACAAATTCATATATTGTCGGGAAGATATTCTATCAAAGTATTATTTTATAATTATGCAAATGATTATGAAGCAAAGTGCTAAATCTCTAAGAGAAGAGGTCATGGCCAGTGACCCCAATTTAAGGGGGTAGCTTTGTCTTGGCCCGGACTCTAAGAAACCTCTCATAAGTACAGAAAGGAAATAGAAGCAAACAAACTGCCATGAGAACTATGGATCAATATTTTCTCTCTGGCTAGAGAGTTCCACAACTGGTTGCGGGAGACCTCCTCCCTTTGGAGTCAAATGCCTCAGTCTATGGAACTTGTCACACAGATTCTACTGGGTTGGTGTGGCAGTGTCCTTGGCTTACAGAAACTTTTCAGGTTTAAGAGGTTCCATTTATTAATTGTTGATCTCAATGTTTGTGCTGCTAGTGTTCTATTCAGGAAGTAGTCCCCTGTGCCCATGTGTTCAAGGCTATATCCTACTTTCTCTTCTATCAGCTTCAGTGTAATTGAATTTATATTGAGGACTTTGATAAACTCGGACTTTGAGTTTTGTTCAGGGCAATAGATATGTTTCTATTTGCATTCTTCTACTTGTTGTTACTAGTTATGCTAGCATTACTTGATGATGCATTCTTTTGTTGCTGTTGTTGCATGATTTTGGTTTCTTTTCAAAAATCAGGAGTTTATAGTTATATGGATTTATGTCAGAGTCTTTCATTGAATTCCATTCATTCCTGTTTCTGTTTTTATGCCAAACCAATCTGTTATTACTATAGCTCTATAGTAGATCTTGAAATCACGATGGTGATACTTCCAGAAGTTTCTTTACAAGATTCTTTCAGGTGTCCGGAGTTTTTGTTTTTTCATATGAAGTTGTGTATTATTCTTTCAAGGTCTTGAAGGATTTTGTTGGGATTTTGATGGAGATGAATTGAGTCTGTAGATTGCTTTGGGTAAGACTTCCATTTTTACTATATTCATCCTAACAATCCATAAACATGGGAGATTTTCTATTTTCTGATCTCTTTTCCAACATCGTTTTTCAAAGACTTAAAATTCTTACAAGTCTTTTATTTGTTTGTTTAGAGCTTCCCCAAGATACTTTACATTATTTGTGGCGATCGTAAAGAGTGTTGCTTCTCTGATTTATTTCTCTGCCATTTATCATTTGTATAAATGAAGACTACTGATCTCTTTGAGTTAAACATCTATCCAGTCACATTACTTAAGGTCTTATCAGATGTAGAAGTTCCATGATATAATTTTTGTGGTCACTTATATATACTATTATATCATCTACAAATGGCAAAAATTTGACTTCTTCTCTTCAATTTCTATCCCTTTGATCTCTTTTTGTTGTCTTATTGCTCTAGCTAGAACATTAAGTATTATATTGAAGAGAAGTAGAAAGAGTGCACAGACTTGTTTTGTTTCCTTTTTCAGTGGAATTACTTTGAGTTTCTCTTTATTTAATTTACTGTTGACTTCTAGCTTGCTATTATTGCTTTTCTCATGTTTAGGAATGTTCCTTGTATCCCAGACTGCTGTGGAATAATTCTCTTGTACCCTGTAAAGATTTGTCACTTGTACTGATGTACTAAAACACTAATTGGCCAGTAGCCAGCCAGGCAGGAAGTGTAGGTAGGGTGAGCAGACTAGGAGAATTCTAGGAAGGGGAAAGGCTCAGTTTGCAGTCACCAGACATATGGAGAGGAAGGAAAATGAGAATGCCTCACTGAGTAAAGTACTCAGTCACATGGGTAAATATAGATAAGAATTATGGGATAATTTAAGTTTTAAAAGATAGTTGATAGGAAACATGAGTTAATACACCACCAGTTTATAATGAATAAATACTGTGTATTTGGAATGAATGGCTGTGAGCCTGGGCAGGAAGAAACTTCTATCTACACCTGATCTCTCCAGATCCGTTATCCTGAAGGGTGTTGGATT